GGAAGGGGAAGGAAGGGGAAGGGGGAGAATATGAATATGAGAGTGAATTAGGTCTGGTGTGGATTTTTAAAGCCTCAGATGCAGAGATTCTCAGCCAAACCCCAGGTAGAGCTCCAGGAGTCCAACTGGCAAGAGAGAGGAGAGATTTTATGAGCAAGAGATATCGACACCATGATTGGAAAAAGCACAGGGACAAATAGCCAAACTAGTGGAAACACATGAACTGTGAACCAATAGCTGAGGAGCCCCCATGGAACTGGACCAGACCCTCTGGATAAGTGAGACAGTTGATGAGCTTGAATTGTTTAGGAGGCCCCCAGGCAGTGGGACTGGGACCTGTCCTTGGTGCAAGAGCTGGCTTTCCAGAACCTAGGGCCTATGCTGAGTCACTTTGCTCAACCATGGTGCAGGGAGGAGGGGACTGGACCTGCCTCAACTGAATCTATCAGACTAGGTTGAATCCCCAGGGGAGACCTTGCCTTGGAGGAGGTGGGAATGGGGGGTGGATTGGGGGAGAAGGTTGGGTAGGGGGAAGGAAGAGAGGGGAATCTGTGGCTGATATGTAAAATTAATTTAATTATAAAATAAAACTATATATTTAAAAAAAGAAATATACAGAGGGAAAAAAAAAGCCTAAGAGCCCTCCCCTAGCTGCACACTTCCTCTAGCTAGGTCATGCCTCCTAATCCTTTCCAAACAGTTCATCAGCTGGGGTACTAATTGTGCAAATATATGGCTCTATGGGGGCCATTTGTTTTTCAAATCACCACGTATCCCAAACAAAAACCTTGGTCATAGTGAGCTGGTTAGATCCACTGACCTTAAGACTTACTGGTCCCTTAATTTTTTAAAATTAAAATAATTAAAAACTTAATTTAAAATGTGGATTTAATTAAATTTTGACAAAATACTGGAATTACTTACTGCCTCATGTAGATGTAGCATGAATTCTAATTGCTTAATAATAAAACCCCAGAACCAGGGTAAAGGCTGGAAGATCGGAGAAGTAAAAGAGCTAACCCAAGTCACCTCTTACCTCCACGGCTCCTCAGCTTGAAAAGGGGCTGAACTCCTGTCTCCTTCTGCCTTATTTATATTCCTCTCTCTGCTCAGCCATATCACTTCCTGTCTTCACCTCCCTAGTGCTGGTTTTAAAGGCATATGCCTCTAAGTCCTGGGATCACAGGTGTGTGCCATCACTGCCTGGCCACTATGGTTAATTAGTGGCTAGCTCTGCACTCTGCTCTCCAGACAAGCTTTATTTGTTAGAGCACAAACAAAATATCACCACAGCCTCAAATTTGTAGCTCTAAAATTCCTTAGTTGAGTCTAATTTTCATGAAGTTATGGTCTCAGATTTTTAATTTATTTGTAAACACTTCACTTGTACACAACAAGTACTGTATAAAATTTGACGCTTTCAGTCTTCATTACAACTTCATGGGGTAGATCTTATTCTACTTTCTGTTATTTTACAGACATTTTGAAAGATTTGTATGTTGAACACTCTTATACTTGCTGTCTGGATTGTATATTTGTTATATTTGGTTTATGACGTAGCTATTTATATTCAGCCATCAGTCCATCTTATCTTCCTAATGCTTTCAAAGTAGATTGTAGATGCCAGTATAATGTAGGGGTAGAGTTGTTGTTGTTAATTGTCCCTATCTTAGGTTATTGAGAACTGACACACAGAGAACTAATCTGTTCAAGAGTACCCAGCATTTAAGTGGTAGAACTTGTAGTTGGATTAAGCATTTCTTGACAACTTCTACAGAAAACTAGTTCACATAATATTCATAGGCATTATTATTAAGAGCAATTTGTCAAATAAATTTTAAGAATGCAATACCTTAGCCTTGAAGATTTATAGTACAGAATCTGTAAGGTCCTGTGGTAAAGAAGCCCTTTAACTCTGCTAAAGGCAACCATTTTCAGATTTTTTTCCACCAGAGTACCCTGTTCCCCCGCTTTTCTCCAAACAGCTTTTCACATGTAGTCAGGTAGGACCAGAATTCAGTGGAGAATACTGTGGGAAATGCTCACCTATAACATATTCTTCTTTTGCTTATTTAGGACAGAACATGTTTTGGAGTGTGTGTATATTTCAACACACCCCTAGAGTTTTAGAGCTGACAGGGATCTTAGTTTTCTAAACCAGTGCTCTCACTTCAGATGGGGAACTGAGACAGTGTGTGTCCATAGCTAGTGCACACTAACTCAGGGTACATTTTTAGTGGCACAAATGGGACTAGAACATAGATAGCCCAGAATCTAGTATGGTAGTTAGGCGTGTCACTCATATTTGTTACATAAATGAATTCTTGTAAATCTGTCCATTTTTCACTATAAATCTACCTGTGTATTATAACTTTTGTTTATTATTAGATTTTATGTTGATTTAACCTATGGTAAAAATAATATCTAGTCACTAAATTTTTAAGAAAAATTTTATTATACTTAAGATATAAAATATAACTATACAAGATTGAGAAATAAAACTTTGCTAATACCCCCAAAAGTCCCTAGAGTCCTCCTGTTGCTGACCCCTTTAATTTTTTCTTTCTTTTTTCTTTCTCTTTAGCCAACTTAACAGGACATGCAGAGAAGGTGGGAATTGAAAATTTTGAGCTGCTGAAGGTCCTAGGAACTGGAGGTAAATCTCAGGTTATCCCCTCCCCTTTTTAAGAACAAAGAGTGCTTACTATTCTGTGACATAGGGTTGATCATCTTCATGCAGAAGTCATTGACAGTTTTAAGAGCATGAGGAATCCAATAAGAAAACTAAAGAATCTCTTTTTTTACTGGCTTAGTCCCAGCACTTGAGATGCCAGGGGCAGCACTAACAAGAGTTCAAGGTTAGCCTGAGCTGTAAAGCAAAGCGCAAGACCTTATCCAACAAACAAGCCAACAACAAAAGTCTTTTTAAATCTAATGTTGGGAATGTAAATTAGTATGTCTTTACTTAGACACAGTATTGGTTTTCAGAAGTCACTAGCATGTAGAGAGCTTATTATACACCAAGCACCTTATGAAGTGATTTATATTGATTGATTTATTTAGTTTTTTCTTAAAGCTGTTGTAATTCAGGGCACATCATTGTAATAATGAACAAGTCAGGATCTGTCATTAACCCAACACTTAAGAGTCTGGCTAATTGAAGTATGGTTCTATTTATGTCCTATCATCTATGTAAGATTGAAATGATCTGTATTCATTAACATTTTAGAAAGCTTTTCCAAGTCATAAATTTAAAAAAACAGCCATAGAGGAGAATATACACTGTACAATTATACAATAGAAACAATTATATTAATGAATGTCTACATGTATTAGCATGGAAAAAATATCTGGGATGTATCCCCAAATGGTAACATGATAATCTCTGGATGAGCTTTTTTTTGTTTTGTTTTGTTTCCCTGTATTCTTTCCTATATCTTTGAAAATTCTCTGTCTCAGTTCCTGTTGTTCAGAAGTCAGGCTGGTCTTGCAGGCATGGCATCTGTGCAGTTCTACAGATCTCTACACTCAGAAAAGCCTGTGTACAATGTCACCCTTCTCAAGTTCATTCACATACAAAGCCACATACACTTGCACTGAGCCCTGCCAATCTTGTAGCTGATCTTGTCACTTTGTACCCATCCTGGCCCTGGAATGCCCTGCTCTGCAGTTACAACATCTGTGAGAACTGATTATTCTCATTCTCCTATCTCAAGTCCTATTGAAGAAGTTCTGAACTCATTTCTGTCCTTAGCAGGCCATAGGCACTTCCATGGAAGGAGAAGCCAAGCCTCAGAGGAAGACCAGTTTTCTTTCTCTTTTAAAGTTGAGCTTCACAGTTTATGGAACATCTGCCTTTTTAGATTTTTCAGCTCTGGTAGGAAGTGGCAACTGCCAACTTTCCAGCAGTAGAGAAATCTGGGTTTCCATAATTGTTCCCCTTACCCTAGCCTCACACATGTGGTGATATTGTATTCCCCAATATATCATGCACCCTAATAAATTTATCTGGGGTCAGAGAACAGAACAGTCATTAGATATAGAGGCCAGAAAATGGTGGCACACACGCCTTTAATCCTGTCACTTGGGAGGCAGAGATCCATCCGGATCTCTGTGAGTTTAAAGCCATACTGGAAACAGCCAGGCATGGTGACTCACGCCTTTAATCCCAGGAAGTGAGCCTTTAATCCCAGGAAGTGAGGGCAGAAAGGTATATAAGGCGTGAAAACCAGGAACTAGGTTGGTTAAGCTTTTAGGCTTTTAGCAGCAGTTCAGCTGAGATCCATTTGGATGAGAACTCAGAGGCTTCCGGTCTGAGGAAACAGGATCAGCTGAGGAATTGGTGAGGTGAGGAAGCTGTGGCTTGTTCTGTTTCTCCGATCTTCCAGCTTTGACCCAAGTACCTGGCTCCAGGTTTGTTTTTATTAAGACTATTTAAGATTCATGCTGCATACACATGTTTACATTCACATGTACAAATTATCTTTAGGTCATTCAGTAGTGAGTGTTTGTGCTCTGGGGCATGCCATACAAGGGTTTTATACCCACGCTGAGTTATTATTTAGCATACAGTGTAGAGCCAACTTTGAGAAGAGCCAATGAACAAGCCTGCTGATGTATTCCTACCAGCTAAGGCTGTGATGCCAGAAAGAGTCTTAGTGTAATTGTCAACTCAACATTTTCCAGTGCTTGCTCAGCTTTAGTTCAATTCAGAGAAGTATATTTTTAAGGAACAAAACTAGCCTCACCTTACCTAATCCACAAGAAAGAATGCTTTCAAAATATCAAAATAATGTTGGTTATCCCTACCTTGTTTTCCTGTTTCAAAGGTAGTATCTATCTACTCAAAGGACAAAACAAGTCTAGACCTGTGGTTCCCTTAAAATGATGTTTGCAATACATTGTCAAAAGCTTTTCAGGTCAAGTTCTCGTCACATTATGTGTTACATTTACATGGTTTCTTTCTTTTTGGTGACAGCTTAATTGAGATACAGTTCATATACCATATAGTTTACCCATTGTACACAGTCAATGCTTTGAGTGTATTTAGAGTTGTGTAGCCATAATCACAATCAATTTTAGACCTTTTCATTTTAACCTCAAGAAGAAACCTTGAATCTTTAGCTGTTACTTCCACACTTACCATCCTCTGTCCCTAAACAACCACTAACTGTTTGTGTTATTCTGGACATTTTTTGTAGTGGATTCATATATGTGGATTTGGGTGACTGGCTTTTTTCATGTTCTATGGGTTAAAATATGTTGTAGCAGATATTAGCACTTCTTTCCCTTTATGGCCAGATAGTTCATCGTACGGCTCATCCATTCATCAGTTGATGACTGTGATGGTTAGCTTTACATGTCAACATAATAGCTATAATCTCCCAGTAGGAGAGACTCAACAATGCATTGTCTGCATTAGGTTGGCCAGTAGGCATGTCTTTGGGAGGATTGTCTTAAGTTAATCAGTGTGGAAAGACCAAACCCATTCTCTAGCAGGGGTTCCTGGACTGTTGTAAAAGTGGAGAAATTGAAACAAGCGAGTAACAAGCGAGTAGAAGCATGCATTCATTGCTCTCTGCTTTTGACTGTAGATATGGTGGGACTAGCTGTTAGTCATTCCTGCCTTGACTTCCCCACAATGATGGACTGTAACTGTAAAGTGAAATAAACCCCCTTTTCCTTAAGTTGCTTTTTGTTAGGGTATTTTATCTTAGCAACAGAAGTGAGACTAGAACAGTAACCACTGGAGTTGGTCCCACTTTTTAGTGTAGACTTGAATGCTGTGAACAGTCACACACACAGTGTTTCATGTCAACCTAGGAACAAATTGCCAATTTTAATAGTGACTCTGTTTAATTTCTTGAGGAGCTGCTAGACTGTTTCCCCAGATGGCTGTACCATTTACATTCCCGTGAATGGTATGTGGTGATATACTGTGTACCACAATAAAGCTTGCCTGAGGATCAGAGGACAAAGCCAGCTACTATATTAAACATAGAGTTCAGGCAGTGGTAGCACACACCTTTAATCCTAGCATTTGGGAGGTAGAGATCCATCTGGATCTCTGTGAGTTCAAGGCCATACTGGGAACAGACCCAGGTGTGGTGGCACAGGCCTTTAATCCCAGCACTAGGAGGGAAGGAAGACCGCAAGGCACAGAAAGGTATATAAGGTGTGAGTAGACAGGAAGTCTCTCTCTTGAGGCTGAGGATTTTGTAGAGGTAAGAACGTGGCTGGCTTGTTCTGTTTTTCTGATCTTTCAGCTTTCTCTCTCTCTCTCTCTCTCTCTCTCTCTCTCTCTCTATATATATATATATATATATTACATTACATTATATTATATCTCGGATGTATCCCCAAATGGTAACATGATAGTCTCTGGGTGAGCTTGTTTTTGCTTTTTTTTTTTTTTTTTTTTTTTTTTTTTGTGTGTGTGTGTGTGTGTGTATTCTTTCCTGTATCTTTGAAAATTCTCTATTTCAGTTCCTGTTGTTCAGAAAGTCAGGCTGGTCTTGCAGGTATAGCATCTGTGCAGTTCTGTAGATCTCTACACTCAGAAAGCTCTGTTTTTTTTTTTTATTAATAAGACAGGTTAGCAATTCATGTTACAATGGTATATAAGGGTTCCAGTTTCTTCACATCCTTCTCAACATCTGCTATATAATTTTTTATGATTATTCTGCTAGATGTAAAATTACTTAGGTTAATCCTTGGGAACAAAATCCATTAATAGTTTTTGTTATCTGGCCAAGTGATTAAATTGTACTAGTGCATTTATTTTCCATTTTCAGATGTTTTACAAAAAGTCATGTATAATTTTGAATATTTTGTATAAAGTTAAATAATTCCCTTTTAAACTGTCTCAAGTTTTAAGCTGTCTTTGATATGACAGTGGTCTTGTCTGTTTACTACAGGTTAAGTTTAACAATTTGTGTCAGTAAGAAATCTGAGATAGGTTGGGTGGTGATGGCGCATGCCTTTAATCCCAGCACTGGGAGGCAAAGGCAGGTGGATCTCTGTGAGTTTGAGGCCAGCTTCGTCTACAGAGTGAGTTCCCTGTGAGTTGAGGCCAGCCTGGTCTACAGAGTGAGTTCCTGAAAAGTCCGGGCTATTACATAGAGAAATCTTGTCTCAAAAAAACAAAGAAAGAAAGAAATCTGAGACAGAAAAATACTATAAATATAAATCTCACCTTTGTGCTGTTTGGAGAGTTTGTACCATCTTGGTGTTTTGAAGAGCTTCTCAGCTTAACCAGGATTCTACCACCAGAGAAGCCAGGAACACTTCCAAATGGGGATTAAGGGAAGCTGGACATTGCCTGCCACAGATTACTTTTTTCACGTGGTATATAGCCTATTTTTTTTTTTCTCACAACCAAGGAGACCCTCACATGGGAAGCATATTTGAACTCTTGGATGTCTTGTGGCCCTTGTCTGCTCATGTATAGTTTATGTTTACCTGCTCATTTGCTGACACCTGGAACCCAAGTTTGTGTTCTTCTTGGCATCCCAAGATAAACCCAGTGTGGCCTTCTTTAACTGGAAGGCATAGACCAATGCTGGGCAACATAAATTACAGAAATTCAGTGCCCTTGGCACATTTTTTTCCCCACTAGAATTTATTGCTATTTCAGGAAAACAGCCTTTGGATACA